CTTCTGTTGACGCATCCCAAACCCCTATTTGCTTTTTGTGTGGCTGCATCACACTGCAGATATATATTCAGTCTGTGATCTACCAAGACTCCTGGATCCTTCTCCACAGTGTGGCCATCCAGCTAGGTGTCACTCATTTTATATTTGTATTTTTGATTATTCTTCCCAAGGTGTAGCACCTTGCCCTTGTCAGCATGCAACTTAATCCTGTTAGCTTCAGACCAGTTTTCCAATTAGTTGAAATCTTTCTGAATTGCACTACCATTCTCTGTGTTTAGAATCCTTCCCAGTTTCATGTTGTCTAAAAACTTGCTCAGGAAGCTTTCTATGCCAGCATCCAAATCATTAATAAACACAAACTGCACTGGGCGCAGGATAGATCCCTTTGGGACTCCACTCAAAACCACCTGCCATTTTGACATGGATGCATTAATAATTACCCTTTGGTTCTGGCTATTGAGCCAGTTGTCTCTCCATCTTACAGTAGTTCTATCCGGCCCACATTTCTCCAATTTGTTTATGAGAAGGTCATGCAGGACCTTGTCAAAAGCCTTGCTGAGATCCAGATACACTTATATCCTCAGTATTTCCTTCATTCAACCAAATAATTACTTTGTCAAAAGACATGAATGATGTGTGCCCCTGGCGGCTGGGGGGGCACAGTAGCACTGGCAGTGGCGGGAGCACAGCAGCAGCAATGCGAGCACAGCGGCAGTAAGTGAGGAGCTCCCACAGACTCCACTGATGCTGTCGGCAGCAGGGGATGGGGGCGGGTGGCGAGCACCGACTGGGCTTGATGACCACTCGTAGATGCCACCTTTCCATAGGAGGTGCACCACTACACGCAGGGGGTACACGTGCACCCGCATGCACTCCCTACATGTTGCCAATGTCAAAGAAGGAAATCAACTTTGTTTGAAATAACTTTTTCTTAGTAAATCCATGCTGGCTGCTTGTGATCAGCCTTTATTCCTCCAAATGTTTGCAAATTGCCTTCCTTAAGATATGCTCCAGTAACTTCCCAAATATTGAGGTGAGACTAACTGTAGTTCCCCAGGTTATCCTTTTGGCCTTTTTAAAGAGGGGCCCTATGTTGGCTATTTTCCAGTCCTCTGGTACCTTGCCTGTCTCCCAAGGCTTCATGAAAATCATTGTTAAGGACTCCAGAATCTCTCCTGGCAGTTCTTTCAGTACCCTGCCTGAAGTTCATCAGTTTATCCTTTAGTCTGTCTTCCCGTGGCACCCTGCCTATTGATTCTTTGAGTGAGGTGAAATCCAAGTTTTTGATACCAAGCATCCTATTTTTGCTGACCTCATGTTTTCCCTGTCACAGGATCTGGGATTCTATCATATCATGATCACAACCTTCCAAGTTGCCCATCACCTTCATGTCCTCCCTGTTGGTGAGGACAGGATCCAAAATAAATGATCCCCTAGTTGTATCCTCAGCCCTCTGGAACAAAAAGTTGTCCTCCACTCAAGTTAGGAACTGGCTTGACATTTTATGTTTGGCTATATAGTTCTTCCAGCAGGTGTCTGGAAAATTGAAGTCTCCCATCATACCATCCCATAGGTTTTGGATAGATTTATCACTTCCTTGAAGAACGTTTCATATAACTCCTTCCTGATTTGGTGGCCCATAATAAATCCCCACTATTACAGTAAAAGCTCCATTAACTGACACCTTACAAGCTGGCATGCTGTATTAACCGGCATGCTAGCTTGTAAGGTAAAGTGAAATCAGAAGTGCCCACCATGGCACTTCCAGTTTCTCTGAGCCCCCACGGCCCGGGGCAAAGCAGCCCATGCTGACGAGCCCCCACAGCCCAGGGGCATAACAGGCTGCGTTGAACCTGCCTCCCTGTCTTGTGGGGCCCACAGGGCCCACAGGAGGGGCAGCGATGCCACGGGAGGGGCAGTGACACCCTGGATGTGGTGGGAGAAGCGGCGGCCCGAACAGGAAAGGACACCTGTTCGGGCTGCTCAATTAACCATCATATTTTGTTATCTGGCATCTCCCATTCCCGGAGGATGCTAGATAACAGAGCTTTTACTGTATATCATTGCTTCATCTTTCATCTTCATCCAAATGTATTCTGCTTTTCTGTTTTCTTCCTCTTGAACAATACTAAGGAAAATTTTGCCATGTTAATACACATTTACCTTAATTATAGTGCTTTCTAGCTATGAATGGGAGTGGAGTGCCCACAACTTCTGTTGCATTTCGTGGAAGTAATGGGTGTTCAGTTCCTCTTGAGTTCAGGCCATCTGTTCCATGGTATATGACCTAACCTACAATGGCTATGCATTTAGATACTACTGTTTAGTACCAGAGGTTTAAGATAGACACCTAGTACCTGAATGCTAGGAGAATTCTACCAAAGAAAGGCTTGGGTATGTATATTATCCTAATAACCAGATCATGGAATGGTGGATTTTAAAATTGTTGCCTCAGCATTAAATATCCTGTTTCATCCTTGGTTTCCCCAAGTAGAGTTAAAAATAAACCAACGTTAAAAGGGCCACATTTTACTCCTAGAGTTATAAACGAAATTTCTGTTGATTCAAATTAGAGTTGCTGACCTGTGTATCAGAACATAATTTGGTCCTGAAGTACTTTAACTATGAGGCATAATTCACAAAACAGAACATATCAAAAGCAATTAATTGGGCAGTTTGTTCCTAGTTACGGTCACATTACTTTGAGGCCATTCTTGGATGATGGCTGTATCGCCTGTACTCTGGTTTGGTATCCATGGCAAGATAGTTTGAAAGCTCCTGTTCAAAACCCAATTAAGAAAACTACCAACATAATTTCAGAGCAATTAACCTCCGCTGGGTTTTCATGCCACACAAAGTAACAAATATAAGAGCAATATATTTCAGCTGTATGAAATTTTTGAAAATGAGCTTTAATTAAGGATTCTGGAACTTTTAATCTCATATGTAATCTCATTAACTTTCTTGGTGTAGTAGGATTGAAGTGTTGTAGCCATGATGGTCTGGAAAACATGTGAGAAACAACAGAAATAATATTATTTTATATTATTGAAAAGCCAAAGAGTATCCCCATAAAACTCAAATCTATTATCTTGATCTTACAGGCAATACTGGTACTTTTTTTACAAGGAAAGTTGTAAGTAAGTTATATGAGAAACAAGGTTTATTGGTGATTATTTTTTTATTGGACCAACTGTATAGTTAGGAAAGATGTTAAACTTTTGGGCACAAAAGTGCCTTTCATCAAGTTTTCAGGTGAAAGCTTGTCTAACATCTCTTTGAGCTATGCAGATCAATAATTTTAATATACCACTGCTAAATTTAAAAATAAATGCAAACACTTAAAGTATCCCTTGGAACAATTAAGTGTTCTGTTCTTTTTAAATACTGCAGTAGTATTCAGTTCAGTAAAGATTTTTTTTTTTTTTTTGCAAAAATCTTGTTGGTCTAATAAAAGATATCATCTCTAGTACGAGTCCTGATTGCAGTATTCAGTTCTGCATCTTTTATACATCTTAATGTTGTATAGTCATGGTCATGTGACTTAGAAGTGATTAACTATCAGGCTGTTTTTAGTATGGCTGCACATCCATTTAAGAACAAGCTATAATTTTAATATTATATGCATTCACAGTAACAAATGCAAATAATTTTATACCTGTAAGGAAAGTGAACAAGCATTATTGGTGTAATGTGGGTCAATTTTGCTAGTTTTCCAGTCAAGGAATGTACCTTGCAATGTAAGAGTTTGAGGTTGAATCTGAGTACAAATTACTGTGTCCATGGATTTCAAAAGTTATTTCCAGAGTCAAAAAATGTTTACTACTACCCAGCAGGTGAAGGGAAATCAGCACATGAAAGAAATAAAAAAAGAAACCCATTAAATGTTCAAAAACTTAGTCACCTCCTTGTTTTACACATTTGAGTCCATCAAAAGCACCTTGAAAAATGGAAGTCTTTCTGTTGGTTTTGATCAGGCTGCAAGAACCAGATTTTGAAAATTATTTTAAGTTCCTCAAAATGCAGTTAGGAGCTTAGGGTTGAAAAACTGAACCCTAGGCACATCTCTGCATCTTTACTGCCAAAGTACCTTTTCTAAAAATCTGCCTTAAATGCCTTGCTTTCTTCAACAGAACACATGGGTCTTTTGAGTTGATTTCCAACTTTACCCTTGCAGATCAGTATCTTGAAAATCTGCCTACAGTATCCTGTGACTCTCTTCATGTTAAAATACTCGATTCGCCTGCAGTACTAAACATTGTTATGAAATATATTCCATATATGATATAGCAATCTATTTAGTAAACCTAGTGCCATTTGATGATAATCTTTCACTTAGTTTTCTCGGTTTGTTATAAATCGACTGCGCTGTTGATTTTTAAAAGGTATTTAATTTCAAGGAGAATTCCTGAAAATTACTATTATCATTCATTTCAGCTTAGTGGATGAATTTTATGTAGCGCATAATATTTCACTGTATTATGTACACTATTTATACTTGTTTTCATTTTCCATATTTACATGGTTAAGAGAATCATTTTTGATTAAATGGATCTTTCCATCTAAATCCTAATAATGAAATGGTATTAAATCTAAAGTGGAAATCTGGTCTGAATGTATCAGTCACTGAACTGAACTTATCAATCACTGAATCTATAAATCACCTTTATTCTCATTTCTTTGGAAATGTTTGTGCAAGTATTTTTTAATTTTTAAAACATTAATTCAAATGTAATGTTTATGAAAGTGAGTGACTAAATAACACAGGCCTTTACAACTTCTTCATGTTAGCTTTGGTTTGTAGTACTCCCATCTGAGCAGATATTCCCTGCTTTGCTGAATCAGACAACAATATCTGATTTCTTTCTTTCACATTCCCTGTATTTTTTTCACAGACTGTAGGTTTTCAATGAACCATCTAAGCTAAATCGAATTTTACATTTATTTTATAAATATTACACCATTTTTTCATGAGAGAACCTTGTTTGTATTTTATATAGTTTCATCATACACAACAAAGACACTTTCTTCAATAATGCTACAAGAAGTAGAATTGTACATCATATTTTACAAAGAGTGAAATATGAAGAGGGAAAAAACAAAATTGGTAAGTGGTAAACAAAGTGGTTTTTAATATGGTGTGAATGTCAATGAAATCTGGGCATGCTTGTTGTTTGTAGGAGTATGGTGTTTTGCTTCTGACTCCTTGCTGGGGTCATACCCTGCACATTCCTAGGGTTGTGGGTTTTATTGACATGCACAATCATTTCAAAGGAATTGCAGTGGAATATCAGGCTGCTTTTCCATGAATGGATCTGTGTGTTACCCCAGAAAATTTGCTTTTGTAGTAGGAGAGTCTGATATAAGGTAAACAAGATTGATGACACTGGATAAAGGTGTTGGCCCATTGCAAAAGGAGAGCTTGCTCATTAGAGTTAGACCTCGATAATGGATCTGTTAGAGGGATGCTGAATTCCAACCTGAATCTCTTGTACCCTCTTCCCATGCTGAGATCACAGAGGTTACTGTCACCAACTATTTAAACTCCATAGTGGGAGAGGGAGAGGAAGACTGGGATTGAGTTTTCCAACATTTCCTTTTCAAGAACAGTGTCTCCGCATGGGTGTTGGTTATCTGATTGTCAAGTAGAAGAATGTTCTTTATTCCGGTGCACCTGGCTGGGCACTCTATTTCCTAACTATTACTTGGAGATGCCTCGCTGGGGTTGTACAGTCCATTCACTCCCCCCAGCTGTTATCAAGCCAGAGGGTAACTTTTATCTTTCTTCTTCTAGAATTAGAAAGACACCAAGTATTTTCATTGCCACCTTGCTGTCATTATCACACCCAGACTGGAATAACAGATTCTACCCCTGAGCAATGAGAGTTGGTAGAAATTGGCATGTGCTTCATGCAGTCATGCTCCCATCTACCTCTTTCCAAGCATGTAATTTTGCAGGCTGTATCCCTGTATTACCAAACTATCTTCCACATAGACTCTGGGCTGGGAGGGGCCACACCAGGATATAAAGCTCTACATTTCATACAATACACACATCAGGAGCTGAGATTTGACTCATAGGATTTCCTGCCAATGTAAAAGATATTTATGACAAATTAAACCCCTTTTCATTGGTGTATCCCTAAAACTCTTAAATTTCCCTCAACTCATTAGGAATGGAGTTTAGAGTCTTTTGTCTGAAATCCCTAGGTTACTATTGACCAGATTTTAACTACTAACTTTCTGGTAGCCATGCAATGGTTTTCTAGTATGTTTCCAGGTGGCCAGGTTTACACACAAAATCTGGTACTAGTGACTTCCCCTGTCAATCTCAGTGGAGGGGCCAAAACCTGAATGGGTAGGGAAGGGGATAAACTACCTTTTGACCCTTAGTAAGGGAACAAACTACCTTTTGACACTTAGTAGTGTCCCTTCGGTTGAGGGTATATTGTTTGGCCTCACACTGCTACAATCTGTCTTGTTCCTGTTCTATCAATAGATGGCTTCAGTCACCAGGGCTGTCAGTCTAGCAGCTTTCAAGAGCATTAAACCGAAGAGATGTAACAATGTTATTTTCATATGGGAATTGAGGCTTTGTGCTGTTTTGCAAGACTGCGGTACAAAAGTTCAGAGGCTTTTTCTGAAATTTCTAGGCTGTCAAGAAATGTTTCATCTTATATAAATGCAGTTTCCAACTATTTCTTCCCCAAAGTTTTAGTTTTTAATTATAAGATCAAAATGTAAGATTAACTTCAGTGTGGCTTGGTGTGGCTTTATTGACTTCACTGCAGTTAAAATGAGGATGAATTTGGTATATGAATCTAAAGTCAATTCATAACTAGTTGTACATTGTGAAGTACAATAGCAAATCCAGGATTGTTATTTTTGTCCTTTACTTGTGTTAGATCATGGTAATTTCAAACCCATAAAAATCTCCTGTTACTTACACTTTTTGTTGTCCATGCACTATGAACTTCACTTAAGCAGTCTTATCATGGCAACATGTTTAGCCTAATAATAAAACAAGGATGAAAATCCTGCTTATAGTTAAATGAATATTTTTTATTTTTAGGTCTGAATCGATTGCTTAGTAATGGCTCCTATGAAGCTGCATTTCCTCTTCACGAGGTACTTTCTCACCTTTGGTTTTTTCAGTGGCTTGTACTTACTTTTAAATAATAATTAACATTAGTCTTTTTACTTGTTTCTCAGCTTAAACTAATTTTCAACTACTATATTGCCATTGGCTTCAGTGCTGAGTTACTCCTAACTCTCACTGATGACCTGAAAAGAAAATTGGGCACACTTTCTTTTCTTTTATTTTCTTTTCTCTAAATCATTAAAAATTCTGATGCCTCTTCCTGAAAACTCTTCATTTGAAACTCATTTACTGCTGCTCCATGGGCAGCTATTAATTGTGCAGTAGAAGATTAGAATATAAATATTACCACAGCTCTCAGGGGTTTTCGTGGTGTGCAACACATCCTAAAAGAGTGTGTTTGAGGACATCACCTCCCTTCCATTTGTGATCACATGGAGCCCTCACTTGCAATCACAACTCTAATTGGTAAGGCCTGCAGCAATTAGCCTTACTGTTGCATTTCCTTAAAACAGTTCATGTAAGTAGAGACAACCAAAAAGCCTGAGGCTGAATCAATGCAATCTTTGCTGGTTTCTCTAAGCTGTGTAGAATGAACTGATAATGAAGTGAACTGAATTCACTTTTGAATCCAGAAAGGCAGCCAGATGCCAGCAGTGGCCCAGACCAGAAGCTGGGAAGTGCTAGAGCACACCTCCCAGCCTGCCGCTACTACTGAAGGCACCCAAATGCAGCCAGCAGTGCCCGTCCCTGATTGGCTGCCTAGCACATGCTCTCCAAACTCCTGCTGTCCCCCCGAAGCGGGGAACAGTCCCTCCAGCCCAAGGCTCAGCCAGTGCCAGGCATCAACCCATGTGGAGGGATCCCAATGCCTCAGCAGAGGTTCCCCCAGCCCGGGCAGGGTCCCCTGACCCCTGCCAGAGGGGAAGTTCCCCCCTCCTATCCCTCAGCATGGTCTGATGCCAGCTTAGCTCCACCCCCACAGGTGCAGGGAGGGGCTGAGGGGAACAGTACTTCCAACCTGAGTCAAGACAGTGCCTCACATCAGCCCACCCCTCTCCCACCCCTCAGCGCAGTCTGGCGCCATGTTGGTCCTGGGCTGGAGGGGCTGGTCCCTCTGTACCCGAAGGGGTGGGGCTAAGCAGGTGCCAGATCATGCTGAGAGGTGGGAGGGGGGAATCTCCACTTTGCACCAGCATCAGGGGTCCAAGGACCCTGCCCAGGGTGGGGGAACACCTGCTGAGGCTGAAGGATCCCACCCCTCATGTGGGCTAATGCCAAGAGCCAGCTCGGCCCCAGACTGGAAGGACTGTTCCTCCTGCATCTGTGGGAGTGAAGCTAAGCCAGTGCTGGGCCATGCTGAGAGGTGGGAGGGGGGGAATTCCCCCTTTGGCAGGGTTTGGGGGACTCTTCCCAGGGTGGGAGAAGCCCTGTTGAGGTGTGGGGATCCCCCCCATGTGGGCTGATCCCCAGTGGCAGAGGTGTAGGCAGGACCAGGGCTACAAAATGGAGGCTCCAGCTCAATCTTTAACCATTTTTAGCCATTTTGAAACTGGTTTATGTGCACTGAACTTCTGCTCTGTTACAAATTTGAACCAGTTTCTGATCACTTAAACCAGTTTCTGTATAATGTCTTCCTCTAGCCTAAGAAAGGATTAATGCTGTTTAGCAAATGAAGGCAAGTAGGAGCCAGCACCTTGTCAGCAGCAGGATCTTCAAAGCAGGACTTTGGAAGCTGCTATATGTTAAAGATCCATCCCCAAAAAAATTATTTGAAAGTTTGAGACCTTCTCCCATTGACTTAATAAAGTCTCTAAAAACAGCATTATGCACACCACACTTCTATTTTATACAAGCTCTTCTAAACCCTGATAGCACATAAGTGCTTTTCAATAGTACATTCGTGAGTAAAATGACCATTTAACATTTGTACCAAAAGGGGGGAAAAGAATAACTTCCTCAGTATCCCAAGTTTTTTGCTATCTTCACAATCTCTCCACTTGGAACAATTCCAGTACCCATATTAACAAATATCTCTCAATATGAGCAACTTCCTTAAGAGCTGTTGCTAGTGTTAACCATCTTACATGTTTGAATGGATTATTTCTCATAATACCATGTAAGGTAAAGTCAGAAAAGTTATTCTGACAAAAAAGCCCCTACCTTTTCCAAATTGAAATGCCAAAATGGGAAATGTTTTTGCTTTTAGAACTTCTTTCCCCCCAAAATGTCCAAAGATTTATAGAAAATTAAACCAAAAATAAAAATAAAGAAGATTGATCACAAGCAGTTTCTGTTTTTATGAATCATCATTTTTTGACCAAAGCAGTTTGCTGAAGTAGTCTCATCGAGTTCTGTTTACCACCCTCAGGTTCAGGACCTCTGATATGAGCAATGCCGGTTACGAAGTGAACGAATTCAGCAATGCTATAGGAAAGAGTCTCTTTAATGTTAGTTTTTATGGGAGCTGTTAAGTCCGTACATTACTAGTTAAAAAAGATTTCTTGGTAACTACTGTTTGTTTGTTTTATTTTGTTTTTTTCTTTTCTTTTTTCTAATCAATGTTTACACTTGTATTTTAGGGAAGTTACAGAAGTAAAAATTCAATAAGAACCCATGGAGCAGAAAACCACAGACATCTGCTTTATGAGTGCTGGGCCTCCTGGGGTGTGTGGTATAAATACCAGCCATTGGATCTTGTACGGTAAAACTTTTTGTTTTTCAAATACCTCTTTGTTTGCCTGGATCGAGGGGGCAAGAGGAGGTTATGGGAACGCCAAACAAAAATATGGAAGGACTCAGCTGATGTCTCTGACGTAGGTGCGGGCCTCCTGTCAGTTGGTGATTAGTGACGTTAGCCCACTGTGCAGCAGAATTGGAGTTTAGGGCTATAATTGCCCTTGCCTATTGTCAGACTTGTACCAGAAGGTACAAAGGAGCAAATACTTGAAATGTCCCTTGCAGAGTTTCCTGCCAACTATTAAAGCCTCTGCTGAAAGAGTTTTTAGAAGAGTGCAAAAGGAAGAAGACAATGATTCCTTGGTGTTACTGTCCTTCCTTTTCTAGTTGTCCCTCTTTCTGTGTCAGTTCTGAGGAAAGGACCCCCCAAATCTCCGGAGATTGAAGATGTGAACAGAGGGCTACAAGTTGTGCTGGGTCCTTCTTCACCTCACAGCATGGCTTCAATAAGAGTCCTGATGCTTTGGCGAGATTGTCCTTTAAGTGTCCATCAGCAATCACAGAATTTGTTGGGATAAATTAATGCAGCTGTACAAACTCCCCACTGCAGGAGACATACAGCCGCTTGACTGCACCCATAAAACTACCAAATATTTTTTGCCAGAGCAGAGTAGCCTCCTTGGGGGCACTAACAAAGATGGGACAATGACATGGAGTGATTGTTCTCTTGTTCCATGCTGATAATAATGGTCAATTCAGAGTTCATTCCCTCCATGCACATGTAAGTAAAATTAGTTTAAATTGGCTCACAAATAAAACTGGAAAGCCAAAGCTCATCTCAAAAGTTCTAAGAAGCATTTCTGACAGTTTTCAAATGGATACACAGTCTGGAAGAGAACATTTATACTTTCTTTGTGCCCGTACAAAGACAGATCCTTCATTTCTGACACTGACAGTATTCTCAGTGGGCCTTAGTGAAAGTCTTCCTTTATGAAGAGCACAGGATGAGGTTACAGAGTCTATAAATACAATCTTTATTTAAAAAGTAGCTGCACACTGATAGACTGCAAAGGGCCGCTAATTTATTCCTTTTATTTATTTGCCCTTTTCAAGGCAGTGATAGGATCCTATTTCTTGTATTGATTTTTAAAACCATTTCTAAATAGAAAGATTTGTAAATGATTCCCAGGAGGCTCAGGGTGATGTTCTTTAAAGCTACATAAAGCTCATTAATTTCTTAAAGCAGAAGATTCATGTTTTTCTAGGAAACAATGTGCACAGAGGAATACCATAAAAGGGCTTTACTCGAGTTAGTTTTAAAAAAAAATGTGCCTGAAACCAAAATAAATCAGAGCACTATTCTTGTTTTAGTTCATGCATTAACTGGGATTAATCTTTTTCAGTCTTCTGGACTTGTCTACAACAGGGAAATTTATCTATTTTTAATGATACTTAGGCTATCACTAGTTTATTGGTGGAATCATCATTGCTTTGAAGCAGTCTTTATTTTTGTATTTTTTTAAAAAACCCTTAGTACAAGAAAAAACAGTAGTGTCCCAATGTAGGTTGTTTCTCTCTTTCCCAAACATCTAGTTATTATTTCTAGAGTACTGTTCAGCTGAGACTATCAGTCTCTGGCAGCAGTTTGCATTTGTGGTGGTGCTATTGAGCCAATATTGTGAAAGTGTCATTAATTAGGAATCTCCCTGCTGAGCTGCAGAATTCAAATACATATTGCAGCATCTCCAAAGTTTGAGGAAGGTTGGATCCAGTAGTTTCCCTTAATGTGTGTGTGTGTGTGTGTGTGTGTGTGTGTGTAAATGGCTCATTAGATATTGAAATGGCCATTTATCTATGCAGATGTGGAAAAAAAACAGACCAAGATAGGCACATAATTACATCTAGACCTTAGCACAGGCTTCCTTTTGTAAACTGGGCATAATATATAGAGTCATTAATTCATTAGGCTCCTCTTCCTAGCAGAGATGCTCAACATTTTTTCAAAGGTTATTTTGAAAGAAAAGCAATCAAGTCAGAGAAATGTAAACACCATAGGGCAAAAGTACAAAGTCGGGAGTCAGTGTGCAGTTCCACAGGAGAAGGAGGAAATAAGGGCAGTGGGCTGGGTACAAAGCTCATATGAGTATCTGTAACTACCTGAGTAGCACTTGATGCAGCAGTGTATCAAGCTAGCTGCTGGCCCTTATCCATAGCTGACTGAAATTTCTCCATGGAGTAAGGGTGGCAGAAAAGGATCACTGAAGTGCTGTGACCACTAAGCCTCTTCTTGAGGGTGGCCCTTTGGGTAGTCAGGAGGGGAAGATATGTGGGGCAAATGGGAAGAGAAGAAGGCAGATGGAGGGAGGGTGCCCTGGATTCTAGCCATGGCCCCAGTGGGGTAGATTGTTTTGTACCCATTTTATCCCAAGAATCATTTCAAGAACAGTGCTCTGAGCAGTGTCTAGCCCTGGCCTCATGGTTTGAACCCCTTTCTGGGAAGTAGAAGACACGGGTTCAAATGCCCTGTGGGTGAGGGAGCCTAGAAGCCAAGTCTCTCACTCCCAGGACTCGTCCTAATTGCTAGGCTGCTGGGCTAAAAGATCGAAGCTTCTACCATCTCTGTTATTTTACTTCCCGGAGGTATGCATATAGAAACATCCTGATCTGCCACAGGATTGTGTATAAGTGCCAAAAATTATAATGAAGTGGCTATGTAAGTGCCCCTTAGGCACAAAGAGGTGCTGTAGAATTAAGCTCTTGATACATGATAACTTTGTCTTAGATGGTGCATCTTTCCTCCTGTTGTTTGTGTGCTGTTATATAGCAATACAGGGAGAGAGAAAAACATGTGAGACAAGGCTGAAGCTACTCATCCAAATCAATATATATCAAAGCAATAGCAGTACAATAAAAGATGGGGTGGATCACAGCTCGTCTCAGGTGTTTTGTTCTTACCTTTGAGAAGTTCAAGTTGCTGGCTCGTGTATCTATTTCACTTGCAATTTTGTACTAGATTGAAACTGGTATCAGGATAGGTTTCAGAAGCAGCTGTTTGCCTGGTATCTGATCATAAGAGGAGCCATGTATTTTACAGCTGCCAGCTACAGAGGCTAAAGTGAGCGAAAGCAGTGAAGTTTGTTAGGTATGGTTTCCAGCTAATGGTGCTCAATAAGAATACCTCCTTGAGTGTGGGAAGAACCAGAATGATAGAAAAATTATCACATAAAGATTTTGCATTTAATACTTAGTACCAAAACTTTGAATTATATGCGTGGATAAAAATAGGTTGTGTAAACTTTGCTGTGTGTCATTGTGACAGGGCACTTGGTGTACTCCTGTCACTTTAAGAGGAGAAACGGCTTGGGGAGTAAGGTGGCCTCTGATGCATCCCCACAATACAGGACATCCCCTCGGTGAGGGGTGGGACTACTGCCCCCCTCAGCCAATCAGCAATGAGGAGCAGGGCCACTGCCTCCTCTACCAATCACCAGTGAGGGGTGGGGGCACTGAGTCCTTTGGCCAATCAGCAGCAAGGGGTGGGACCACAACAAAAAGACCACAAAAAGACTGCTATTGGGTCCATGAGCCCCACTCCAATGAATGTGTGGCACTCTGTGAAACAAGGGAGAACAAGTGCTAGGATCAGCAGCAATTTTGTGAGCCTCTGCAGTTCAGCCAGCAGGGAGCCTCACCTTGCCTCCCCTGCATTGTGGTTTCATATATCCTATAGCTCTGCCATTCTTTGCAGACAGTCCAGCACACCCTCCCCCCACTGGGATCTGGTCTCACTCCAGTCCAGCTCCACTTGGGAGCCACGGGCACACACTGGACAGAGACCTCACCTGCTCCAGTATTAGCATTCAGCACAAACACTGGGCACCTGTGAATCTGCCCTGACCACATTCTGCTCAGAGGTGAGCTGAGTGGGATTGGTGGGCTTTGCAGCCATCTTCCCGGTGGGACCTTCCCTTCGTTCCCCAGAAGACAGGTTTGCCTGTTGTGGAGGGGAAATAACGACTTAATGAGCTGGCCCACATGCCCAGGATCCCAGAGGCCCCTCTGCCCAAAGCTCCCTTTCCCCACTTCCCACTCAGCAGGACACCCCAGGGACTCACTGCGCTGTTCCGTGACAAGAGCCTATTTCCAGTCCCACCAGCGTTCCAGCAGATAAATGCAGTGCTTCACCTGCCTGCTCTCAAAGCTGTTACCTTGTGCCAAGGAAGTACAGGGGAGTGTGTGTGAAGACTAGGGCCTGGACCCACCTGCACATGCCCAGCCCAGGGTCAGGGAGCTCAGGCATACAACAGCACCTCTGCTTTCACTGTGCCTGTACATGCACTGCAGCCACAGCTTCTTGCACAGGTGTAGAGCAACCATCCCTGTGGATACTCCACCTTCCTCCCTCCCTCCCTGGCTGGCTAGGAACCCTGCTTCTTCTGGCTATCCACTGCCCTACCTCTAGGAGCAGCCAATAGAATCGCAAGGATAATGTATTGACACTCATTTCCACCGATGAACTGAAAAACAGGACTTTTTCAGTCCTTTTCAATTCAGGAATGGTCAGGGGACAAAGGGTTTAAAAACATATAGTCTGGTGTAAAACAGGACCAGTGGCCACCCTATTGGGGAGCAGCCTACAGGTGGTGAGGGGGGCTGATTAGAGAGTCAGCTAATTAGAAGGGGGCCAGACTTGAAGCACTTAAGCCCAGGGCCTGCGCTGGTCAGGAAGTATACCCTGAGAGTGCCACTGTGAGAGGAGCTCCTGGCATCAGGCCTGCAGCAGGGCTTTTGATAACCACTGAGCTGGGGTAAGTAACACTGAACCCAGGAACAGACCAGGCCTTGGAAGACAAAGGCCTTAGAACAGAAGTGGGTAAATCCATAGCCTGGAGAGGAACAGCAGAGAGAGGAGGGCCAGGGTGCCCAGCTAGTGAAGAGAGCAGTGTCTGAGAGGGGCGAGACAGGCCTTGAAATAGGCCTGGGAACAGGGGGCTGGGGGCTTAGTGCCTGAGGGGAGCCAAGAAACCCTTGGAATAGGCAGGTCTGGGGACATGAGCTGGTGGCCCAGTGCTCAAGTGGAGCTAGGCAGGCCTCAGAATGGATAGGCCTGGGAATAGACCAGGGGTGGGCAAAGTCTGGCCCATGGGCCAAGCTGGGCCCACTGTGGATTCCATTTCCCAGCAGCCCTTGCCCATGTTGCTGCACCTGGTTTCTATGGAGACCCCAGAAGCAGTGGAGCTGTGACAGAGTGAAGCCAGGATTTCCATGGAGACTAGCCCCAGCAGTGCTGGCAGGGTGTGCATAAGGAGCTGCGCCAGGGGCTGGGATCTTGTGGCAGTGACAGCATGGTCCAGAGCTGGGGCAGAGCTGCAGTCTGCTGCCCAAGTACCCTGGGCAGGGGCATGCAAGCCACAGATTGTAGATCTGCCCCAGCTCCAGATCATGCTGTCACCACTGCAAGATCCCAGCCCCAGCCTTAGAGCAACTTCCTGCCCAGTCATATGCCCTGCTAGCATTACTGGGTGTGATCTCCATAGAAACCCTGGCCCCACACTGTCACAGAGCTGCCACTTACTGGGATCTCCATGGAAGTCTTGTGCCTGGGGCCTGTCCAAGGGCAGTGTGTGGGGCCAAAGGGGTCTGAAGCCCAGGAGGGGTGAGGACTAGGGCTGGGAGCACATAGCCCATGAAGGGCATATGTTAACAGATCACCTGTGAGGCATGGGAGTGGTTATTGGGGAGGATGGAGCCCATGAACTAGACCTTAAGGCACTAACCATGAGCACCTGTGGTTATAAGAGTAATACCAGGCTTGGGAAGCCCAGGGGCAGCCTCCCTTTCATCTGAAATTAATAACCTCAAGGCTCAGCAGGCAAGTAACAAGGAGAGGGCTTCAAGGGGAGCCAGGTTGGGAAGGGCTTATCAGCCAGCAGGAGGCATCATGACCACCCCAAGTTGAGCACTTGCTGAAGTCATCTCATAAAATCAGATTTTTGTTTCTTGGTGGAGCAGACAATTTGTTGTCCAAAATGTCAGATGAACTCTTGTGCCACTGGTGCACATATGCTACTAAACTGGGCAGCCAGACCTGCTGTTCTTGTTGCTATTGACCATATTGCTGTTACTTTTCTGTTTCTGTAGCCAGAAGACTTGTGATCTCTGTTATCTTATAGAGCAGGGGCTATCAACCAGGGGTACACATACCCCTGGAGGTACTATGAAAGGTCCCAGGTAGTACGTGGGGGTGGACAGGGGCAAAGTGCAGCCACCCCATGCTGCTGCCTCACAGGAGCAGGGCCAGGGTGGGGTGAAAGTAGGGCAGTGCAGACACCCCAGCTCCACATCTGGCCACTCGCCACCCCCCGCCATGCCCCACATCC